GACTACTTGTACCATTACATTCATATGTGATTGTTAGTTGGTGTTTTGATACCCTTAGTCAGTTTGTATAAGTTAAACATACTTCTTCAAGATCAAAATGTTGTGCAAGTATGTTAAAGGCTATTTTGAGAATTGTAATTATGTAATTGGATAATTTAAATGATGATGACCTCCCTCTTTGCTTTTGATGAATTTGGGGTTGAGAAGTAAAAATATGATATAGGTGTTGTTTGAATGTTTTGGTGTATTGCATGAGTTTGTTATAGTCTATTGAGTGTGGTTTAAGAGTTGGTGTGGGCTCTTGGCACTTGGTTTGAGTTTTGGACACCCTAGTTATGTTTTGAAAGCATAAAAGTGTGAGTTTTTTTTTTGGTATTCAACTTTTGATTAAGAAATTATTTAAATGTGAAACTAATACCATTAGCTAGAGCTTAGAGAAAGCTTTTCGTAGACACTTAGATTACCTCAATTGGACATTGAATAGAGATTTAGTGCACATCAAAATTTTGGCCAGAAAACCTACCATGATAGCTAGTCATAGTTTCTACAGTTTATGCCATAGCATAAAATTTTATGCTAGGTTTTATTTTTTTTAGAATTACTATTTTCGTACTTTTAACTCCAATTTGATGTTGTTTTACCTTATATGTTATCCATGCTTCTGTATACAGGTTTTGCTCTGATTTTAGTTTAGCATTTTAAGTTTTGAGAACTTTAGATCCTATTTATGAAAATTTTGCAAACTTAGTAATTCATTTGGGTTATTCCTGTAATTACCTTGATTTTAGGGGTTAATTATGGATTAGTAAGGATGATCTTATATTTTGGGTAGCCATAGTTGTGAATTATGATTTCCTTGTTTAACTACCATTTTCGTTTATGTTAAGATGAGATTTGAGTAATTTAAAACTTAAATCTTAATTAAACATTTCCATTAAGTAATTTGGTATGGTTGTTTTGGGTTATGATTAATAGACATGAATGTGAATTTGGGTTTTTTATCCCTTGAGTTTTAAACTGTTTTTCTGCTGAAAATGTGGAATTTGAGAAGGTTGCTTAATCTAAATATTGATATTGGGAAAAATTTTGCAAAAGGAGTTGAGAAGGAAGAGGTTTGGTATTTGTTTGAACTTACATTCATATTTGATGTTCAATAAAATGCTTGAAAGGAGAAATTTTAGTAATTGGTGGGAAATAAATGTGATGATTGTATTGTTGGTAATTAAATTGTTTTGGTGGACAATTATTCTCTATAAGGAAAATTGGAATTAGGAACAGAGATATTTGGAAAGAGTGCTTTGATTAGTAAACCAAGAGCCAATTTTCTATTTATATATTAGTCTTCAAGATGTCTATGAAATGTTGATTCAATGTTTGAGAAAAGTGAAAGATAAAGTTTGTCTGTGTTATATCTTTGAAATTTTGACTGAAGTTTATAAGTGAAAAATAATAGTGTTACTTGGATAATAGGAATTCAAAAGTCAAGCATTGTCACTAGAAAAGTAGCTTGAAAGTAAGTTATACACTTGAAAACTTTACAGGTAAGTAGATAGCATCCCAACTGATTTACCTACAAAATTATTTTCTAAAACATGATATTTTTATATAAATTTTTTTAATAAATACTATGTTAAGTATTTGATAATTGGATATTTAAATTTCTTTATCTAGTGAAATTATTTTTATCAGCTTTGAAAATTTTGGTTTTCAAGAAATGCAAGCATGAACATTAGTTATGAAATTTTATTCTGATGAGTTTTGATGTTTAGAATTAGTCATGCAAGTTTTACTTTGAGAATAGGAACTGTATTTTTATAGTGATGATTTTCTCACATATTTGAAAATGAATTTGGAGGTGATTTTATACAGGACACTGGTTGCTAATAACAGTTCCATTAGTCCTTGGCACCTTGGTTAATGAGTAGCAGTTTGACTTTCGCAAGCTCTATTCTCACGTCTGTTATTTATAGATCTTGTACTTGTGTCTGTTTCATGGCTTCGACCACGTTTGGTTAGTTACCCTCGTAGACTGTGTGTCCATGTCTGTTTTATGGCTTCGACCATGTTTAATTAGTTACCTCATGGACTGAGCATCCACATTTGTGAATTATTATTATAAATCCTCCAAAATTATATGAATTTTAATTAATTAGTGATTTCATATGTAATGGCTTTTAATTTAGTAAATATTGTTATTCTTATTTATTTATTTAATCATTTTGATTTGTCAAGATCAAATGTAAAAGCTGCTTTGTCATATAGATTTTGATGTTCTTTGCATTGAAGTTATATAAAACTTTTATTTCAAGTATATAAATTTGTTTATATTGAATTTCTTTCTCATTTAATTCATGTAACTATTGTATTTTATTCATTTTAATTCTGTAAAATGTTATGATTGGGACATTATTCACTGAAAAATTACTTTTGGTCTCAAATTCACTAGACGATGCTGAATCTCTTTCTGACTTTTGAGGTTCTTATAGTTGAGCCAAGTGGAGATTTGATTGAAATTATTTCCTTTTGATATAATTATAGAATTTATGTATTTTATTTTGAAAATATGGTTAGGTGCTCTACATTGGTTATAGTTAGGTCCTATTATTGTTATATACTTTGTCTGTTGGTTAGAAAGAGCAGAGCTCTTGGTTGTTGTAGTATTTTATCTAAAATTGTATTATGAAATTTTTGAGAGGTCTTATTTATAGGGGAGATACTTCTAAAATTTTTACAAATTTATGAAAGTTTTTGTTTTGAATTAATTGCATGGAAAATGGTATAATTTTTGATAAATTATGTATATGGTCTTAAAGTTAAATTTTTAAATTTTAGGCTTGAGGGATGTGTAGTTGTGTATATATCTTATGCTAGCCACTCCTTATTTTTGGGGCATGACACTAGACTCATAGTTTAGGGTCTAAATTGAATATTAACCCTTTAATATTTTAATAATATTTTAAAAAGAATTATTATTTTGAGGCGAAAATGCATAAAACTCCTGAATTTAATTTGAGCCAGTTGCATATGATATCTCTCACCTTTAAATATTTAAAATTAATACTTCTAACATTTAATTTTGTTTTTCAAAATCTTCAACCGTTAATTAACTTTGTTATGTTATCAATAAAATTTGTCATGTCAACACAATTTAAGGAAGGGCAAAATTATAATTTTATTATTTTTTATCAATTAAAATAGCCTTTTATATTAATCAAATGAAACAATATTTAAAAGCTGTCATTGATAAGAATCATATAAACAAAAATCTATCCCTTAATACAAGAAAACCATGCATCATTGATAATAAAAAAAATATGGACAAAACTAATACAAAAGTAAATATTCAAAAAATAATATAATTTTTAGACATTTATTATTTTCTTACATAAGACGCCATGTAAATTTTTATGTAATTTTTCTTAATATGACATGACAAACTCTATAAATAACATAACAGTAATTAATGATAGGGGACTTTGAAAAGCAAAATCAATGGTTAAGGGGGTTAATTTTGAATGTTTAAATGTGAGGGGGATAATATATTATTATCTCAAAGTTCCAAAAGATTTTATGCATTTTAGCATTATTTTGATTAATAATATTAATTATCATTTAATCTATTATTTTGTAACTTATGGTTTAAACATCAATTTTTTTTTTTGAAACCATTTTTTAAATACATTAAGGTGTTGTTAACCGGTGTTCTAATTTCCTAGTGTTCATGAGTTTTATGCTTATAAAAGGCCATGTAGACCACACAATTGGTCACCTAATATCGAACACCCAACTCTCCCCCCTTCCTCGTGCTTCTCCTAAGTTATTTTGTATTTTCTACTATTATGTTATCCTGTTTGTTTCACAAAAGGGTTCTGCTCAATTTTTTGGAGCTCTCACAACTATGCTAGAATTGCTCTTAAAGATAGTATCCTTTGGCACATTTTGAAAAAAAAAAAAATTCTACAAGATTTTCCAAAAATTACTTTAGTATATGTTGAAGTATTAGTTGTTAATTATGGTTACTTGTTAGCCTCAGCCAGTATAAAAGGGATAAGGGCTACGTATTTAGGTGGGAGAAGGTTTAATCCTACTTAAGGATTAGGCATACGCCAGTAGCTAGGAATAATCAAGTGAACTAGGGTTTTCTTGTAGAAAAGTTTTGAACACAGATTTTGCCGTAGTTGTTTATCTCTCTTGGTTACACTTAGCTTTTCTGATCACATTAACGATCAGAAGCCCCAAGCAGGTTGAAGAAAACACAACAAACTAACTAATGAGATCGATCGGTAACATGAATCTGGTTATGTATTTGTATTTTATCAACAAACAGGCAGCATGAAGAGAAAGAATTAGAAATTCATTGGAGCTAATACCCTAATTACACTATATAGAACTAAAACTAACTCAATAATTAGACCTTCGGAAAGATTCTAACCATTCTTTATAAGAGAGTGAGGGCATAAATGTGCCTAATCTGATTAGAATTTAGCAAGAAGGGAAAAACACACAAGTCATTTTAATTAGCTGTAGAGAGATCATCTTAATTACCATATCTGGGTGAGATCTTCTTGCTGCTGTAAGGTTTTTTTTTTCAAAAAAAAAATCAAAATCAAAATCTTGATCTTTATTGTGGAACGACACAAGGCTTAAATTAGGATGGGCCAAAAGGAAATTTGGTTTGCGGATGAAATTGGGCCGAGAAAAGGAAGGCAAACTGTTCTTAAAGCTAATTATCGCAGAAAGTAAATATATTTCAAGCTTTTGCTTACGGCTTTCTTTTGATGCTTAAATTCTTCTCTTCACTTGAATATCCTGTAATCGGTTAAGCCCAAAATCCTCTCTGCATAATGACTCAGAAACAAATAAATCAGCAAAATCAGGCCACTCATCATGATAATTCCTAGGAAGCACAAAATGCAGAAAGGAATTAGAAAGAAAGAGCCAATCATCACATGTTCAAGGATCCAACTGGCCTGAGACATGGCCCTCGGCAAAGGGCCCGATAGTAATGACAACATAAGAATTGTTCATATTAACTTTATTCAGAGTAATAACACCCAATTAAAAATCGACTTTCCTCAGTACAGTAGACATTTTTGACCCCCCTCTGAGAGAAAAGGAATCATTTCGAACAGTACCAGAGAGAAATATTCACAGCATGTGCTCTACAAGTTTTCAAAGCCAATCTGACTCATTCTCCATTCAAAGCAGACATGGACTGCAAATCCTCAGACCCATGATTGGAATCATCGGAAACATTCAAGGGATGACAATCTTGGTCATTTTTCCCAAGATAAGATGATTCTGATATATCCATTTTCAAAAGATTCGAAAAGAAGCTCTCGTCCATGTCAAAATCCGCCATGAAATCTAACCAATTGTTTGCATTTCCCGCCGTATCAACAAAAGGTGTTGACACCATTATTTTCTCATAACCACATCTAACGTTCGTGTCATGGGTCAAAAAAGGTTGTGCATTAATCAATGGTTGGACTTGTTGGCTCAATATTACCTTGTTGCACCTTGTTGCTCTGGTTTGAACCACGCATGGACCAGTGTTTGGTGAGGATTTTGGGTCTGGCTCTGAGTCTGAGCCTTGTCTGGCTAAGGTTGATGGCCTAAGTGAAACACCACTTGAAGAAGTAGAAAAATTTGAGTTTCCATTTTGAAGCTTTTTTTTTATGTGGGTGTTCCAATAATTCTTTATTTCATTATCAGTTCGTCCTGGGAGACGTCCAGCTATCAAAGACCACCTATATATAAGACACACAGTCACATATGTTATTGTTATTATTATTATTATTAATATTGCTAGTTACGAAACTTCATATTATACATTTGAAATAAAAACTTCATTTTATGTCATTCACAATGATGTTATAATATTGTGCCCATACACATGCATGGGTAGAAAAACTTGAAAACAGAATATGGAATTAGGATAATCGAACTCAAAACAAAGGAATTGATTCATGAAGAGTAATCAATGAACCTGTTTCCAAGAAGCTTGTGAAGTCTGATAATGAGATCCTCTTCATCATGGGTGATATTTCCTCTTTTAATACCTGGTCTCAGATAATTTAACCATCTCAGCCTACAACTCTTCCCAGTTCTCTTAAGACCTACATATGTATATATTATAATAAAATAATTCAGATACGTACATTGTCACTTCACATAAACCTTGATGCCAAAGCAATGAATTCACAAACGGCTTCTTAAACTTCTAATAATTGACAGAGATATAACTAGAAGCTTACTGTAAAAAAAAAAAAAATTGCTGCAGAATTTTCTGTAGGTAGAAATTTCTTGAGTTCCATCACAAAATCCATCGCAAATAATCCATCAGGAAAATTTTGCAACAGAAAAGTCTGACACAAAATTCATTTCAAAAGCAATTTGCCTTGGATTTTCCTTGATTTCCATCACAAATTTCCTGTCTGGTTGTAGTGGAAATACATGTAAACTTGTATATAAAATATAAATAGTGATAAATATCTAATTACATACATATACCTGCTCGTTTGGGAAGGAGTCCCCAGTTTCCTTGGCCATGAACCTGAATGTCGTCAATGAGAATCTGGTCTTCTGTAGCTGTCCATGCTCCTCTATTCAAACCTTCCTTTGCACTGCAAATACTCCTTCCCATCTCTGAGAGTGTCAAAAAGGTGAGAGAATGATGAGGACAAATTAAGGATTGTCCTATCTTTGGAAGCTTCTGGGTTTTGTGGCCTTCTTCCTCGGGCGTATTTAATTATATAGTAATGTGTATGGTATGCACAGCTACGCATGAAAGCTATTGCTTTAAATTGTTGAAAACTCAAGTTCTGCCAATCTTTAGTTCTGTCCATTGATAAATTGTTGTGGGAAAGGTTTGCTGGGAATTGAAGTTACATGTGATGCCTCAGGAGGGACCATCCACTTACGGGAGTGCTTTAATGAGAATTTTTGCAAGTCATGATTTCTTGTGAGTTAAATAAACAATATACACTCATTCCAATCCAAAATAAAAATAAATTTTAACTCTAAACCACATACCAATAAAATTTAATTATATCTTTATTCTCATGAAAATATATTATTGTTTTTTCTTTTTACCCTTAACCCCAATTACCAGTGATGAATTAAATTAGAAAGATTTAGAATAATAAGTGAACACAAAGAACCAAGTTAATTAATAAATACAATGGGTAAAATAAAAAAATAATTTCTACAAATAAATTACTTATATTTTGGACTAAAATTAGTTGGGAAAAATGGCTTATATTTTGCAAGGAGTATTATACTCGTAGGTTCCATGCAAATCAAATATAAGGGACCTATATGTCATTCCCCTCCCGCCCCCTTGTTTTTTTTCCCCCACCAGAGTCATTAGTTGTTTGATGCATAATAATAAAGAGTGGTCGCTTTGAAACTTACCATTAATAAAAGTGTCAATTAATACTAGCCTAACTCTAAAGGGTCGGCCCTTAAATAAAGCTCAACTACACTTTAGGGCTTCAGTTTAGCCAGCCCGGCCCTAGCCCTCAAGGCTGAAGGGCCGGCCCTTGGAACCTTAGCCCTACATTTTTTTAATTTAATGATTTTAAAAATATATATTTAAAATTTAAAAAAAGTTATTACATGTAACATTAAATATATAAAAATAAATTTAAGTCAATACACATAATAATAAATTTAAGTCTAATAAAAAATAATAATATTGCAAAATCGACACTAATAATAATCAAACTTTGCTAGCATTATCAAGAAAATTTTAATAATTTTTATTATCATCAACATCAATATAACTATATCCTTCTCTTTATGGAGCCGTGGCAAAAATATTAAACTTTTTATATATTTCTTCTTCATCCAAGTGAAATGAGGCTATGGTTTTAAAATTAGCATAGTATTTAATTTTTTTAATATTAAAATTTTAAAAAAATTATAAAAGGGCTTAAAAGGGCTGGCCTCACCCTAAAAGGTCGGCTCTTTCATTTTAGGACTTAAAAGTGCCCTTTTAAGCCCAAATTATCATTTTATACTTTGAAATAGTGGCTCAGCTTAAATTTTTTTAGGCTTAAAAGGGCCGACCCAATGGGCTCGATCCTAATTGATGGCTCTACTTATCAGCACCCTATTTTATTTTTAGTGGCAAATTTATAAATCAATAAAAATATAGGAGAGGCGGAAATTTAAAATAAACTAAATTTGGGGCCTAAATTGATTTTATCATTTTTTTCAATTAAAGTACATTTTTCATAATTTAATAGATATAGAAGTTTTCATTAATTTTATCATATGTCAACAAAATTTGTTTATTCGGGCAATTTTTTTGATGTTGAGCGTGAAATAGTTTTCAAACATACATGAAATGTAGAGTAGGAGGAGAGACAAAATTTGTTGGCATATTCAATCGGACGAATAATTATAGAAAAAGTAATCATTTGAGGCTTATAATTTACTTAATATTTAAATTTAGATTTTATATAATCCAATTCCTATACTTTTATCTCAATTATAGCATAATTCTTAAACTTTAATTTAGAGTAATTCAATTCTTATAATTTTAATTATTTAAAATGTTGGTTCTTTTATTTTAGAAAACAAAATTAATTATAAGGACTATTTTTTTTTTGGAAGTTTGGGACCGAATGTTTTAATTAAATAGTTAAAATTATAAAAATTAAATTATATTGAGTCAAAATTTAGATAATGAGTTACAACATAATCAAACTATTAGGATTAAATTGTACAGAGTTAAAATTTAAGAATCGAGTTACGTAAAATTAAGTTAAAATCATAGGAGGTAAAATAATTAATTTTCTTTTAACTTTTTTATTTAGAAAATGACATGAAAATTCATGGCAGGGCAAACTTTATCATATATGCAAGTTTTGGCACGGGCGTCAAATATTTTTCGAACTTAAATGAAATATAGATAGGAAGAGAACCAGAATCTTTTGGTATCCAAGATTAATAATTATGTGTTCCAGGATTCGTACCAAATTATAATAATTGGTTGTTGGTAACACAGCACAGCTAATTAGAAGACAGGAAATTATTGTGATTGCCACATGGCTGCAGCAGTAGTCAGCATCAGATAAAAGTTGATGTGTACATCTGTCTAATATGATCTTCCAGAACTGGACAAACAACACAAAATATCTGAGGAAGGAATTCCAACATTCACTCTGTTTAAACACTGTAACTTTTAACGGGAATTCCAACATTGATTCTCTTTAACACTGTATATGTATCCAGACATATGTTTGTTTGTTGTTATCGAATTTGGAATTTTCCCTGCTGGCTAGCTCTCACTCAAAAAATAATATACACAAGTGTATATATACAAAATCCTTTCACCGGACAAACTTTTTTTAAAAAATGTCTTTTAAGTAATACTTTTATTTATTTATTATTATCGTATGAATTAATTTATTATAACTATTAACTATATATAAAGAAGGATGAAATCGTACAGTTACATATTATTTTAACAATGTTCAGAATACAAAAATCATTTCTTAATAAGAGCAGAATTACATTATTAGCAGAGTTTAATATTAAGGATTGGAGGGAGTCAACTACTAGCATCAATTTTATCACAATCAAATTAGATTGGCTTAGTTTAATCTTAATCAGTTGTTGCTTGAACTTCCCAAATTTTGATAAAATCAATCATCTTGTGAATCAAATGAGGAAAAAGCCCAAAAGATAAATGAATAGATGACTTATTGATAACTGAATATTGTTTATTCACCCAATGACCCTTAAGTGTCTCGTTTTTCAGAGAGAGAGAGAGAGAGAGAGAGAGAGAGAGATATATATATATATATATATTTCAAGTCTTCCGAACAACACGATTGAACTTCAATGCAAACTAAAAATATCATAATTAGCTTATTAAGAAATGGATAAAAAATTTAATAAATTAAACAACTGATTCATATATAATGCTATTGAACACAGCTTAAATCACTTTTATTGTCTAGAAGAGATCTATAGGGATGGTTGTAGGGGTACCACACGCACAAACACACAGAGTCTATACCATATTTAATAGATTGGCCAATTATGGAAGGCATTGGCTGATGTAGCCAATTCCATAAACTCTTGCTCGCTTCTCTCTTTGCCTCCTGGGTTCTGAGTCATCAATTTGGGAGATGCTGGATCTTGGTAGCAGCGCAAGTATCTGCAAGATGGCATCTCCTTTTGGCATACTTTCAAACATATCATCTCCAATATGTCCCCCTCCTGCAAATAAGGGAATTTCACGTTTGGAGAAGCTCCGTTAATTCTTAATTTTGTTTCAAGAAATGAATACGTGCACATGGTTGCCTTAAAAGGGGTGGAAAAATCTATAAAAAAAAATTAATTATTTAGTCCCTTATAATTTTGACATGGTTAAGTCTCTAAACTCTGACTCATTATATAATAACTAAATCCTTATCATGTTAACGGTTGTTTTGACTTAATACTTAGTCTCTATAATATTTGTAATATAAAATATTGATTTCTATATTTTAGAAAATAAAATTACAAAGATTAATTTTTTTAATTTAAATCTTTATAATGTTTTTAATGATTAAAAGTTTTAGCAATTTAAAATATTAGTCTTCAAATTTTAAAATAATTTTAGTCTTTATAATTTTATTTTCTAGAATATATGGACCAGTTTTCTATAGGATTTTGTTAAGCTAAATCAAAGATTAGGGGTTGAATTATAACTGAATCAAAACTATAAGGACTAGTTATAAAGAGTCAAAGTTGATAAAATAAGTTACAACTGAGTCAAAAATATAAGGACAAAATAATTAATTTTTCCAAAAATTTATCCAAACTTTTCAAGAAAATTAATTATTTATCCATAACTTGAAATTTAATTAATAAGTGAAGCTCGTAGGTACTAGGAAAAGGAGGACCATGTTGAATGACATGAGGCATATCGAAATTAATTCCTTGAATATATGAGGATGCTTAGAAGTGATGGAGGAGACAGTGATCCCAAGACCACCACCAACATCAACAAGACGAGTGATGTCCCCGAAGCCTTTGTAGAATTCAAGAATCTTGGTCATATTAATTAAAATGGAATTTCATAATTTTCTTAAAAAATTATCTTTAGTTTTCGAATGTTAATAAAAATATTTACCCTCGACTTAAAATTTTAAAAAAGGAAAGAAAATTTAGCCTTGCTCAATTAAGCATGCGAACCATGCATGGGCCCTAGTTGAAGGCAATGCCACCTTCCGATATTGCTTCCTTCACCTGCCTGCTAACAAAAACTTTTTGGTATTTTGAAGTCCTAAACATCATCACGTTTTGTTAATTAATTTTTTTTTCATAATTAAAATTCTTACTCATCCTCAACAAAGTTACATCGTCCAATGCAAGTTTTTTGGGTTATAAGTCCAATTTATTTTTTTGGGGGTGTTTAATACGAAAATGCCCCTATAGGGGCATTTTTTTTTTTTTTGGGTGTTTAATGCGAAAATGCCCAGAAAATGCTCGCAACAAATGCCCTATGGGGGGCGTATACTAAAAACGCCTCGTTTGTTGAAGGCATTTTTCAAGTGGCCCCTGTGGAGGCATTTTTTTTTAACAGAAAATGCCCCTAGAGGCGGTGGATCATGCTATTGGTTGCAGCAAATGTCCTCTATACCACAAGCCATGGTGGACATGTATTTGGTCATGGCAAACATACCCAATTTCTCTTGTCTGAATCAGT